CCATGTTGTCCCAAAACATTATGTTATGTTAAAACAAAAATACAAACCAATTAAAATATCTGAATGGATAGACAAGATTTCCAAATCGTTTATCTGTACCTAAATGACGTCTATTAAAGATGATAAAAACTGGTGGATTTTAGTAACCAGTAACTGGTATTTCCAAAACTGATGACTTAAACCATTTAGTGTGTTTTTAAGGGAATGGAAAAAGGCTAGAAGAAGAATTCAATGGCCATGATCATTTAGAAGTTGTCTGTTAAAACTTTTTTGTATTAACACAATATAAACATGGACATAAATTGATCATTTGGTCTTCAAGGCTATTCAAACACACACATATACCCAAAGGAAAAGGTAAAATTCAAACCACACTTTACTTTTCAGGAATTCCCCTCTTAAACTCCTTACCTCCGCTACTTACAACAGCAATTCATTCTATAATTCAATCACCCCGTTAGAAAAATTAAACTGTCTTAAATGGTGCCTAGCCTATTATTTAAAAAAATCTTGAACTTGTGTCCTCTTTTTCACATTTTCTTCAAAGGCATTTATTCTACTGATCCTCCAGATAATCTTGCAAACTTCACTAAGATCACCTCTTACCCTATTCTCAAGGGAAAATAATTTAAAAGATCTATCTCAACTTATCCCTTTAAAAAAACTGTTCCATTCCTGAAATACTTTTTGTAATCTTCCTCTGAACCCTTTCCAATATGCCAACAGAAAACTAAAACTGCCTACTTTACAAGCTTTCCTTCATAATTATTCATTTTTGCCAAGTAATTGTAAAATCCAAACCTCTCCAGAAATGTTAGAACTAAAACTATAAAAGATTGGATATTTATTTTGTTAGCTGAGTTAGAGATTTAGAACCTTAATGGATGTTTTAATAACTTCAGTGCAGTCAAGTGTTTCTTTTATGTCCCATCACATAATAGCCAGAAAAACAATTTTACTGAAATATAAAAAAATAAAATAAATTTAAGTTTTCTTTATTCAGCTGTTTCATATTTTCATCAACTGACAAGTAAACAAAGAAGAATCATGTATTTTTTTAAGTTAAGATACTTCTATAAATTGGCATTAACATACTTTGAGACAAACTGACTTCTATCCAGATACATAAGTCTTCCCCCCCCCCCCCTCAGATAAACTGGATTAGATTATTTATCCTAAAACATATCTACTCTAAATTTCTGTTTGCCAATTAATACTCATTATATACCTCTGTGCTACTGGGGGACAATACTCATTATATACTTTAAACCTTTTTTTAAGAGACTTAATTTCTGAAACACAACATCTAAGAACACAATGAAGGTACATAAGAATGAGCAAATTAGTAGATGATATTACTGTAATTTTGTAAATATAGTTTGATTAATTAACATCCCACTAAATATAAATGTAAGAAATACAGAGGATTAATTGAATCATAATTCATCTAGTAAGTTTTTGTAGTAAGAAAATTAACAATTATGGAATAGTACAAAAAGAAATGTGTAAATAGCTATAAAGACTGAAATAACAGTTTTTTTTATTTGCATATATTATTTTGATAGTTCATATGCAGACATTTACTGTATGAACAATTCAATAATTGTTAATTTTCTTATCATCACCGAGTATTTAAAAGCAATGGAATGATAAACAGATGACATATGCACGTTTGTACAATCACTAAGGATTCTTTATTAACCACTAATGAAAGTACAAAAACAGGCATATATTTAAAGACTAATCACAAAAAACACCTCCTGATTCTTATTTACAGAGTCAAGTTACCATACTCACTTTACAACCTTTCCACAAACAAGTAACAGTTTCTGTATCTTTCTGGGTGTCGACATGGACATTACGGATATGCTCCACAAGTTCACTTGGACAGTTTATCTCAGTGACACAGTTCAACCAATTGCATACTAGGGTTGACTGAGTTTGAGAACTGGCAGTTGATTGGCTAAAAGTTGATGAGGTGGCAGTAGGGGATTGGCTACAGAATAACGAGGCAGCAACTGGTGTTTGGCTAGTGAGTGACGAGATAGTAAGACCTGGGCTAGAAAATGAATTATGTGAAAACTGAAAGTTACTTTTAATATGAGGCTTTTCCCATTCTTTCACATCTAATGTCTTAAAAGCTGTGACTGAATTATGAGTCCAATTCTTTGTTTCACTAAAATCTTTTTGTATATGTTCCCTTGAAGAAACATCACAAGAGTTGACCTGGTCCCCAAAATCTTTAGATTCTAAATTATGTTTACTGAAGTCTGACACATCTTTGGGATGGATTGTGTCACACTGCAGGAAAGCATCTTTATGATACACACCAGAATCTTCAGATATGCTGTCCTGAGAACAATTCCTTTCTGACAAAACAACATAATTAATACCATCAAAATCATCACTGTCAAGAAGACAGTTGTCACTAGTTTCTTCTGACAGAGAAGCAGGAAGAGGGGGCATAGGTTGGGGGATACCTGGAGAAGCTGGACATTCTGGTGAACATGGCTCTGAAACACTAGCGCCATCACTGGACTGGCAGGAGTCACTGGCTCCACTGCTTACGGCCACACTGAAAATAAAAAGCAACAACAAATCTTGTTTAGCCATAAATACTTTGAGTAGAGATAAAAGTGGTGTCTGACAAAAACAGTGAAAAAAAGTCTTCTAGGCCTAAGTTGCTAAAAAAAAACAACTTGTAAAATAATACATGATAGAATGAAATAAAAATAACACTGGTGAAAAAAGTTCTGTCCACCTTTTGAAATGTGCTTTGTATTTTTGTCTATAAAAATGGCACTTCTCACAAAATATAACAAGGGTCCAAAAATGTAGCAAAACACTAGTGTTTAAATTGATATGCAACAGATATTTAAGTAAAAAAAAAGCACAAGATAATATTCAAGTACAGATATATATGGAGAGGGATATTAAAAATGGTTATCTGTAACGGTAGTTTAAAATATGTTTAAATGTTTCTATAGACTAAGAGATCTTATATTTGTGGTACATACAATTCTGTATTTTTTGAAGATCACAAATAATTCTCAAGTATCATTCTAATGCTATTTTAACTGATCTTGGATGTACATAAAAACCAAAATATACTGATGCAAATACATAAAAGAAAAGTAATTTTGGGAATATTTTTTAGCATCTTTTAGTCATAACCAAAAGCAATGTTGTATTTTTCAGTAGGAAGAGAAAGTTGTTCTTTGTCTGAACTTGTTTGAAATTTCTACATGTTTAAAGAAAAATAGGTTACTATGATTAGTACTAAATCTTTTTGTCAGTCTTAATACACCAATGTATGTTATATGTATAGTAACTTCGTTGTTTTATTATAAGTTATATTCATAAGCACCACGACCATGAAATATTGCAGCAATGAGAATGAAGGCTACCCTTTAAACCATTAACCTAAAAAAATACACATGACGTAAGTTTGTTATTATACAGTCGTCTCAAGCTCATTTTATCAAACGAGCGTACCATACATGCTGACCATAAAAAGTTGGGTCTAATGGAAGTTAACCAGTGGTTTTATATTAGTAGGCTTACGCGAAGGATCTACCAGAAGACGGAGAACCCCTCCGTCTACAGCCCCACTAGCCGTCGTTTATCGAACCTACGCTTTGTGTTAAAGAAGCTTTCTGGCCTACCGAGATCTCGCTTACCTGACAGAGAATCTGCTAATTTCTACAGTGGGCAACGACACGAAATTTTTCCATGGCAACAACGCAATGGTCCAGCAATCGTCCATCGCTGCCATAAGTCTAGAATCCGCTCCACATTGAACAAAGGTCAAACTCCGACCACGACCCTAACAAAGGACACCACACTCTGCGACACCTGTCGGATACTGCTAGAAACACTCGGTAGAGAGAAAGAGAGAGGGATGAGCGACCGTGACGTAGGACCTTCCACTCTGGTACTGGCCTCCCTGGGGTGTAAAGTATCCTTTTACAGTAGATATTTTGACGCTGTGTAAAGAGACTTTCCTTCACTGAATACACTCTACATAAAATGTAGGTTTTACTCTCATTTCTAACGATGTGATAACCCTAAAGCAGCCATGTGCATGTATGTGAATACAGTATTACGAATATGTGAAAATGAACTGATTATTATAAACATTTACAGTATTTTTATGTGTATATCACACAAGAAATATGGTTGTAGTACACAGAGTATTTCACGCAATAAGACAGTTTCGCCCCTAGCGGTAATTTAGTAAAAAAATCGAAGTAATCTCTATTCTGAAAAGATAGCGTATATGTATGCACACATACACACACGTATTATTAAGCGAAATTATTTAGAGTTTTAATTAAATTGTTCGTCTTGTCCTTTCATGAGATTTTTATAAACTGTGATATTTTCTTTCTTTTTCTGTATAGGGAAAACAAAAATCCACTGTAGGGTTTGTTAACTTCAGCTCCACTAACTTGTATATGAAAGCATATTATTCTATTATTGTAATGAATTAACAAATAAATATTGCTAAGCACAATTATATTTGTCGTAGAAAACATACTTCATATTGCTAGGATACCTCCTTGTTCTGTCGTCTTCAATACAAGAGACCAGTGGGAATTGTACGTTTATAGATCAACTGAATGTTATCAGGTGAGAGCGTTGAAACTTTACAAGCGAAGTTTATAACTTAAGGAAATTGTCAGGGCTTGTCAAGCTTAGGAAAGAAATACTAAGAGAGTAAATTCAGCCAAAGCTTGCTAATGATACCAGGACCACTGTCACGGTTTCGGGCTAAGCAATCAGCTTTTATAATTTCAATATTTTATAACTAATCACGTTCTTTTTTATTTGTTAGTTGAAGTAGGAGAGAAATTTTATCTCAAAATATCCCAAGGCTACCAGATTCGAATTGAAGACAGGTTAGGGCAGATTTTTCAAATTCTCCTCTACGCATGTAACCAAATGTTCTTTGCATTTCATTTCTAAAGAATACCCCCCCCCCCCTCTTCCCAGTGGCACAGCGGTATGTCGGCGGACTTACAACGCTAGAAACTGACCTTTTAAGTATTATTTAAATAATTAAGTTTTGTTTTCAGAAACTCGAAGATAGTCGATGAGCAGGTTTTACTTTAGAAGTAATATTACTTGCAGATAAGATATAAAATTACATATTGTAGTCAGTAAACTGTGCACGGATATTGTGCATAACGTTATAGTTTTATGAAGCGCACAGAGAGCTCTTAAGTTTCACCATCATTGGTATCTTATCAAATATCTCTATTTTTTTTTTCTTAATCAAGTATCTTGTTTTTCAGATACAAAAGAATCACAATATTTATTAAACGTTTCGGTAATGTTCACATTCCATCTTCAGCACTTTTACAAGATTAAAAAATAATAATAATAAAGAGGTAACAAACGAATATTACAATATTTGTAAAAACATACACACAGTTAAAAATAAATATGAAGGAAGATACTGTTTTAATTAAGAGACTCTTTTATATCAAATTCCATATCCGCGCAGCCAGTAGTTAAAACCTGAATATCAGACAGAGAAAGTTAATGACTAGTGGTCTGACTGTATGCGCGTGTTGTGAATAGTTGATATTCATGACAATTCTTCGTCAATTCTGAATGCAATTCTCGTATGTTCACGTATACGTGCTAGTATCTTGTTATGACGAGTTTATTTCAAAGTTCTTTTAAACTTCATGTTATCAAATGAGCTGTGATAGTTTTAGTAATTTAAAATTTTGAGCACCAACATTAGTAAATAATAAAGTGTATTTGAGAGATATTTTTAGCCTCACCTAACTTTATTGTTGTTATTCTACGTGATTAATAAGAAAATAAATAGTAAATCTAGCTTATTAGAATAAATGATAGTAACAGCCTGTTAGCAATAACACGCTCAACATTACTTATAATTGTGTCTAATGCAAGACACTTTCAAAACGAGAAAAATGGTGGGAAATCATTTTTGACATACTAAACTGACCAGAGGCCCGGCATGGCCAGGTGGTTAGGGAGCTCGACCTGTAATCTGAGTTCTGTAATCT